GTACAAGCATCATGCACACCACTGGTCAGGGTATAGAGTAAAAAAACCTAATTGGTATCAATTCATCAATATACTGTTTTGGCAGAGCATTACAAAAAATGTTCTCCACAGGACTATTCCCATAACATACTCAATCTAAACAAGAATGCATATTGAGACCAATGTTTCTCTTAGAAAAATGTATGGATTTATTGTTTTATTTTCAATAATTTGTTTTTGCCATTTCTATGACTAGGTGCTGATGCATTCAAAGATGATGGCGTCTACTCCCGGTACTTCACAGCTTATTCAGAAAATGGCAGATACAGCTTGAAAGTGCGAGCTCATGCAGGAACAAACTCTGCCAGGCGACGTTTAGGGCATCCACGGAGCAGAGCTGCATATATACCAGGCTGGGTGGTGAATGGTGAGTACCTCATGCTATCTGAAGCCAGTGACAACTGGAATAATATTTAAAATTTGATATGACTCAGGTAGACTTCATTTCACATCAAAAGATAGACTTCCTATTTCTGAACTGGAATACTCAGTTAACTGTAGCCCAAATTCAGCTTTGGAAAGAAGTCAGGCACTTAGTAAGTACTCAAAAAATCCAACGTTATGTTACTTGGAAATACCTTGATGATACCAATAATAATGTGCCCAATTTTTAGCTCAGGACAGGAAACAATCTAATTTATAATGAACATAAGGACAGACCAGAGGCCGGACTTATTCTTCAGATCTTACCTGTTATGTCACTGGAGTGCCTGATGCAATAACACAAAAAGTGTGTAGAGTAAGGTGACGCCAAGCACACACACTGAATTCTTAGCTACCTTTCCTTTTCTGGTCCCTTAGCTTGTGACTGATTCTCTAAGGCTGTTTGTTAGCAGCTGCAATAGCCATTGTAGCTGCAGCAGGGAAGGAAGGACCTGGCCAAATCATTGAAAAGGAACTGGCAGTGATTGCCCCACATATATTTCTAGCTTGAAGATCTTTTGAGACAGCCAGGGCATACACGTAATTATCTAACATTATTCTTGTTTAGTCTTCATTCCAAAGCAATCTGCTACCTATCTTTATCATACAGCATCCCGTTTAGGGTACTAATGATAGAGCTCCCCCATTAATTTGAGGCTTAATATTGTGTCACAGACTTAGCAAAAAAGACACCTGTGTATATAGCAAAAACAAAAAGACAAGTGAAATAAGGGAAACAACTCACTGTGTTGAAAAAAAAAAAAAAAAAAAACACCAGTCCACTTTTGCCCGTTTTAAACTAGAGATTATATAATGTAGGGGAGATCGAAGGAAACCCACCAAGACCTGAAACTGATGAGAATGCTGAGACGGTTGTGGAGAGTTTCAGCAGAACAGCATCTGGAGGTGCGTTCGTGGTATCAGGATTTACATCATCTGCCACTGATGTGTTCCCACCAAGTCAAATCACAGACCTGAATGCCACGCCTGAAGGAGAAGAGATCACTCTGACATGGACAGCACCAGGAGAGGATTTTGATGTTGGCAAAGGTAAGAACGAAGTGTCATGTTGCTTATGCATGTGGTTAGAGATGCTCTTTGTGAAAGGGTGTTAACAGTTAAGGTTTCCCTTAGTATCTAACTATCCTTAGTATCTAATGGATAGTTCAGCAAACTATTAACTTTAAAATTTGATATTTTTGAATCAGTCAAACATAACACATTTTATTCAGCCCTACTCTTCATACAATTGAGCAAAATGTAAAAGCAAAAATGTAGTTCTTATTAAAAAAAAAAATACTGGGAGCCTGCCCCTTAGCTCAGTTCTTTAAGTGGCTGCTTCAACAAAGCAGTCAGGCTCAGGTTGCTGTGATTCTATCCCTACAATTCAAGCCAGCCAAACCTGCCCTAAAGGCATTCGGAGCAAAAAAAAAACAAAAACAAAACAACAACAAAAAACTAATACTTCCAAGATAAGGATATACTTTGTATAACTAAAGATCTTTGAGAGTGAATGGAAGGAAATTAACATGCAGCAGCTACTAAACTACATGTAACTTTGTTCCTCAGTTCAACAATATATCGTCAGGATAAGTGGAAGTATGCTTGACCTGAGAGACAGTTTTGAAGACGCCCTTCAAGTTAACACCACTGGCCTGTCACCAAAGGAGGCCAACTCCAAGGAAAGCTTTACATTTAAGCCAGGAAGTATCCCAGAAGAAAACACAACCCATATATTCATTGCCATCCAAAGTGTAGACAAAAGCAACTTGACCTCGAAGGTGTCCAACATTGCTCAAGTGGCTTTGTTTATTCCTCAAGCAGATCCCAGTCCTGATGAAAGTCAACCTAATACTAGTCCTGATAAAAATTCTTCTGGAGTTAATGTTTTTACTGTGGTGTTGTCAGTTATAGTGTCTGTTGTAGTCATAAGTATTATCGTGAGTACCATTGTTTGTGTCATAAAAAAGAAAAACTCTTCGAACAGACCTGGAACACGGCTTTAAAGACCCAAACAACATAAGCAAAGGATATTTATGAATTTTAAAATTTATCCAGTGAGTTCCTGAACGACAAAAATATTAATAAGTGGTCTAGAAATGTTATTTTGATAAAAATAAGCTTTCTATGGGTATGTGAACAACTTATCAATACTCAACTTTACTAATTTTATTTATTCATTAATTTATCAAGTTGTGAATAAAGATCCTTTTTCACACTCATCTGTGGTTATGTATTATTTTATGACGAACTGTTTTTGAAATTATCCTCAAATTTCATAAAGAAGTTAAAAATGTCATTTGATTACTCAAAATGTACATGTAAAAAAGAAAGTAAATAATATTTGGGAAGATGAACTGGGTATTGAAGCTATTAGTATTAGTTGCTGTTATTAATAATTTAAATAATATTTTCAGATTCACTGAAAATCTCCAAATGTCCATACAATATTATTGAGTTCCTGTTCACTACAATCTGTGTTTATTAAGGTACTAGTAAAGGGTCGGCCAAATAGCTCAGTGGATTAAAGTGCCTACAAGCTGTCTCAGAGGCCAGGAGTTCAATCTCCGGGCCTGCCATGTTGGCCCCACTCCCAGGGCACGCTGAGAGGGCAATTGATACTGGGCATGGTGGCACGCACCTGTAATCCCAGCTCTTGGGAGGCTGTAAACAGGGAGCTTACTATAAGTCCGATCTACTAGTGAAGCCCTGAACACCCTGTAGACCCTTACCTAAAATACAAAAAAAAGATACTAGTAAAATAAAATCAGACACTGACTGTAAGACCATAATTTTCCCTAATTTCACTTCAATACACATATTAATCTTTTATCTGTAAAGACCACACCTGCCTATATACTTTTTAAATCATAAGAATTACTGAAGTTACGATTGATTTTATTTTTAGAAGAAGAAAATAAATAAACTTAAAACATATTGCAGTTCATCATTCAGGGTCAACATCCTGGAATTACACCCACTCTGATGACTGAGATCAATTAAAGAAGAGCAGGTTCGCACACTGGGCCATGTTTGTAAGTCTATCATCAAGCTGGGCATGGTGGAACATGCCTATAATCCCAGCACTTGGGCAGCTGAGGCAGAAGGTTCACTATCAGTGCAAGGCCAGCCTGGGCTACACAGTGAGACAGTATCTAAAAAGAAAAGTCCATCATGTTCCAGGTTTACAAAAATATGGGTGTTTTTCTTCCAGTTGCTGTTTTTCATACATTGCACAAGGAGTTTCACCTTCCTAATCCAGCAAGATACTGAAAAGGAACTAAGCAAAGGTATCCACTTGTTTACTCAGTAATTTTGGCAGGAATAATTTGCTGGCTCGGGAGTAAACTAAAATGTAAGTCATAAGCTAAGCCTGGGGATCACTTTTAACAATTTTCCAACATAGAGTAAATGTTGACCATTGTAAGTAATTTTGTTTGATTAGCAAGGATGAAAGAATGGCCTTATTGCTTAAATTGGATGAAATAAAAGATCAAAAGAAGAAAAAATATTCAGGGGACTCCTGATTACCAGGAAGACTTGACTTGTTCCCACAGCATTCAGAGAAGGACAGCTGTATAACCGGGCATTGGAGGTCTCTTGACATATAATTTCTATGGGCAGTGTTGGTTCTTCTAGCAGGTAATGCTTATTCAACCAGGGCAAAAAATGTAGAACAGGATTAAATGTTAGACACTTGGCCTTTTACCAGTGAAAAATGAAGCCCTGAAATTTGTATTGGCAATTGAGCTACCTAAATAGTAGAATCTCCTTGTATCCCTTCCATCCACCAACCCCATAACTCCTATAGCAAGTTTGTCAAGCCAGGTATTTTTCTCTCTGGTGCTCCAGTGTTATAACTATGCTCAGGTGGATCCAATAGTGGATTATTCCCCTCTCCAGGTCAGAGCCTGATGTAGTTCTATTTCTAGGTCTGCACCAAATAGCTAGTTATGAGCAAGTAAGGGAAGAAAAATTATCGTCATATAATTTTTATTTTACTTATTATGGTCACAGTCAAGAGAGTCTGAATACTTTATTTTTTATTCATTTTTGTACATGTGTAAAGCACAGAATGATTACAATGACTGAATTCTTTTTC